CAAAATATTTAGATCAAATAATGGCTCAAAATTCTTTAATTCTCAATGCTCAGATTTGTTCGAGAATTTAGGCATTATACATCAAAGTAGTTGTGTGCACACTCCATAACAAAATGGAATAGTAGAAAGGAAACATAGGCATATCCTTAAAGTTGCTAGAGCAATCAGGTTTGAATCCAACATGCCAATTCAGTATTGGGGCAAATGTGTGGTAACAACTGTATATTTGTTAAATAAATTACCCTCTTCAGCCATCAATGGGAAGACTCCTTATGAAATGCTGCATTCCAAGCCTCCATCACTTTCTCATTTGAGAATAATTGGTTGTCCATGTTATGCCTCCTCTGTTCCAAAGGGTGACAAGTTTGCAGAAAGGGCAAAGCCAGCTGTTTTGATGGGGTATTCTGAGACTCAGAAGGGTTATTTGTTAATGCATCTCAATACCAAGTCCTTTTTTGTCAGTAGAGATGTAGTCTTTAAAGAACATATTTTTCCTTTTCTTCAGTTCCTAGGATGCTTGACTCTGATCTGTTTGAATAAAGTGGTGCTGACAGTGATACTGAAATTTTGCCTGATACTGAAGTTTTTCCTGATGATGTTGTTATTGATACTGCTGATACTGCTTCTGATGCTTCTCCTGTCACTACACCTATGAATTCTCCTTTCATTCCTCACCATGCCAATGTTCCTATTGTTTCAACTCCTGTCAGACATACTAATAGAACCACTAAGCAGTCTATTTGGATGAAATATTACATACCCCAACCAGGAAACATGCTAGCCGGTATCCTATTGCCAATACTCTTTCTTATGATAATACATCCCCTACTTATCAGAGTTACTTGGCAAAGCTTTCCACCTTAGTGGAACCCAAGAATTTTAAGGAGACATTTATAGATGTGGCATGGGTTCAGGCTATGCAACTCGAGATTCAGGCTCTTGAGAATAATCATACTTGGGAGGTTGTTGATCTTCCACCTGGTAAGAATGTGGTTGACTCTAAGTGGGTGAATAAGATCAAGTATCAAGCAAATGGTGATGTCGAAAGGTTCAAGGCCAGGTTGGTGGCTAAAGGTTATAGCCAACAAGAAGGCCTTGACTATCATGAGACTTTCTCTACAGTTGCAAAGATGGTTACTGTGAGATGTGTTATTGTTGTAGTAGTCTCTAAAGGATGGTTTATGTACCAAATGGATGTCTACAATGCTTTTTCACAAGGTGATTTATGTGAAGAAGTCTACATGAAAATGCCTGAAGGCTATGAGCAAAAGGGACAACACAAAGTGTGTCGATTACTTAGGTCTTTATATGGCCTTAAGCAGGCCTCAAGGTAGTGGAACATTAAACTTTCCACTGCCCTACTGGATGCTGGTTTCTCTCAAAGTGTACATGATTACTCTATGTACACTTTAACAAGAAAGGATGGAATAGTTATCATTATAGTATATGTAGATGACTTACTCATCACAGGAGATAATGCAGCCATGATTGTGGAAACAAAACAGGCACTGCACAGTCAATTTAAACTAAAGGACTTAGGGGAACTCAAGTTTTTTCTGGGCATTGAAGTTTTGAGATCCAAGTCTGGGGTTATTCTGAATCAAAGAAAAAACCTTTTGGAACTAATATCTGATATGGGACTCAGTGGTTCCAAACCAGCAGCTACTCCTTTGGAGTCTAATTTGAGACTAACTACCTTGGAATATGATCAAGCCATTGCTCTTAGTGAAGATGAACCACTTAGTGATGTAAGCTCTTATCAAAGGCTGGTAGGAAAGCGCTACTATCACTAGACCTAATATTTGCTATGTTGTTCAGACTTTAAGTCAATTTATGTAGACTCCTAAACAGTCTCATTATGAAGCTGCAACTAGAGTGGTCAGATATCTCAAAGGCACTATAGGGCAATGTGTATGGCTTCAAGCTAAGGCTGTAGATGCACTAACCTGCTAGTGTGATTCAGATTGGGCAGCCTGCCCTAACACAAGAAGGTCGGTTACAGGCTACATTGTAAAATTTGGTGACTCTTTGATTTCCTGGAAATCAAAGAAACAACACACTGTGTCAAGGAGTTTTGCTGAAGTTACCTGGTTACTTGGTTTGTTCAAAGAATTAGAGGTGCCTCTCAAGTTACCTGTTTCTATTTTGAGTGATAGCAAGTCTGCTATACAAATTGCAGCTAACCCGATATTTCATGAACGTACTAAACATATAGAGATTGATTGTCATTTCATCAGAGACAAGATCAAAGTTGGCATGATTCATACAGTATATGTTCCTACTCAAGATCAGCTTGCCGACTTGTTGACTAAAGGGCTAGGACATGTTCAACATTTACATCTTCTCAACAAGATGGGAGAGCTTAATGTTTTTTCACACCCTCCATCTTGAGGGGGAGTGTTGAGATGTAATACAATGTAATTGGCTAATCCCACGTGAACCACGTGAATCAGTTAGTTAGTACACATAGGACAACTAGTTAGTACACGTAGGACAGCTAGTTACACAATTCTGTAAGTAGTTAGAGTGTGTAGAAGATTCCATGTGACTCTATATATAGAGGTGATTATGTACATTTTTAATTTACTTCTTCTTCAATGAATAATCAATTCAGTTTTATACTTTATTCTCTGTCAAATGGAAGCTCCATTAATGGAGTCTAGAATTCATTAGATCACAATTTCATAACATAGATTTTTCAAAAGATTAAAAGTGTAGATTTTTTGACGGTTGAAAGTAACCATTTGAGAGTTTAAAGTATACCAAGTGCAGTATTTCACTTTTTAGTATAAGATAGTGATTTGTTTAGAGTAAATTTGCAGGTTTTTATTTTTGAGAAATTTAAACTGGCGAATCTAAGGATAAAAGCACTACTTTCCAATGAAATAAATTAACGTTCTTTTAAGGCAAAATATGCGTAATATATCGCTGAAAATTTTAATCTGGCCCTAAGAAGCTCTTATATATTCATTATTTTTTTACATATACAAATTTTCTTAACTTCTTAGGATATACACAGTTTTTACACATTTAGCTATATACCTTTTTATGCTTTTCACAAATCACATTTGTATTCTAATAATTCTCCCACTTTCATTTTGATTTCACCTTCTTTATTCTATTGAAGCCTGAATACGTTGTAATATTATTTTTTACCTTATACAGATTTTCTTACTTATGATAAACACATTTATTTTAAACATGTTATTTTATATACCTCTTCTTATACATTTCACAAATCACACTTGTGAAATAAATATGCCACCTTCATTTTTATTTCACTTATTTTAATTTTATTTTAAATTCTAATTACATTTTTAGAAAAATTATATTATAATTTAGAGCTCTATTATTTATTTTAACTTTATTAATGAATAAAACAAAAACCAAAATGTCTTCAGATTTTTAAATTTTGGAAATCTCCACAATAGACTTCATTTTTTGAAGGTAATCTAGCCTTTCTTTGTGGTTTGCAACTGAAGACGAAGTTGCATAAGTCGCGTCTTCAATTGAGATGCAAACATATTTTCTAATGTGCCAAAATGCTCTCAGTGAGAGTCGAAAGAAGACACCTGAGGAGTAATTAGTCCTGTTTTCTCCATGCTAAGTATGCAGGATCACAACCCATTCATGTGAATTTCGTTGGTTGAATTGTCGGGGACGAATTTTTCAGGGCACTTATGTGATCCATCAACGTATCCTTCTAGGTTATGACCTCTTATTGCAGGTAAACGCTGTGACTTCCACAATACATAATTATTTCTATCTAACTTAATCAAATTTGGATGTGGAAAATTGGTAGAGGATGAGCTACTGATTGATGAATTGGCCATGGTAAAAGGAAGCGTATAGTTCTCTGCTTCTGATACCATGAAAGAGTTTTGATTGAATTGATTCATTTATCAGATACATCCAATATTTAAAAACTAAGATAGGAGAAGGACTTAAAGTCCTAATAGAATTAAAAGAGTACTTAACTCTATCTACAATAACTATATACAAATATTTAAAATCTGTCCATCCTTATCTAGGATTAGTAAATATCCTAACACAAGGTACCCTTAATTATTATTTTTAAAATTAAGTTAAAGATCAATCTTCAGATTTGTTCTGAGATATGTTTAACGTCTGGCCGTCTAGTTTATATTTATATTTTAAAGATATAGTTTTCCTAATATTTTTTCTTAAATTAGATGGTAACTTTAGATATCTATTAAATTAGAGGCACAACCATTTTGTATTGCTAACTATTAAGACCAGTTCGAAAATAGGGTGGGACTACTTAGTGACATGGGGATTAATATAGGTTCTGTCCTTAGAAAACTTTGTTTATGATTAAGATTTGTGATTGTTTTTTTATCTAATTATTATATTGCTTTGACTGTAAAGTAGCAGACCAAATAAGATATACAAATAAATAAAATGTACATCACGCAAGTCTGATAGGGATATGGAGCAAAAAACTGATCAAACCCCTTTTCTATCAAATGTATATTAATGTAAACTTGTCAAATATTTCAATGATAGTTTCAAGTCCACAAAACCTACACAATTGGTGGCGAAATAATCATAGAATACATGGAGCTTAGGTCTGAAGGAATTGACTTTTTTATTATCACTTTTGTGAATATGAGGTAACAAAGTCTTCATTATTGTTAATGGAGTATTGAAATCCAAACACGCAGACTTTTAAATTTTCAAATTTTGGAGATGATTTCCACGTTGGAAGAGTTCAATAGTTTTACTGAAGAGGAAGGTTGCTGGCAGTGGCGGAGGCAGGAATTCTATCAAGGGGGTTCAAAAAAAATAATTTAACACGCTAATATTATCCATAAACAAACAGGTCGGGTCATATATGAACGGATTGATTAACAAACGGATTGACAAAAAAAAATCCTTAGTTCAAATAATTTCTTACAATTACAACTTATCTTAAGAAACAAATTTAAAGTACATATCTATAAAATGATAATAAAGTAGCACAACTCATTCAAAATGTTCTACAAGTTCTTCAATTCCTTTAGAATTCTCTTCGGCTCCTGAAAGTGCAAATGGAGAGCAAGCACAAATTTAACATTAGAAAGACTAATAAAAAACACAAATCTAAGCGAAAATACTATTTCTTCACAAAAATTCTTTTTGGCATAAAATGACTTCATTACATTACAAAACTACACAACCTTGAAGGGAGGTTAAGAAACCAAACATGCGGATAAACCTATCAAAACATAGTTTTACATTTGAAAATACAACTACATACATTTTTACAATTGTATTCTACGAGGTTTCATATCTTGAAATGTCTTAATAATAACATCATTAGAAATCTTATCAAATACATATTTTTCTAAATAAGGCACCAAACAATCACTAAAAAAATCATCACTCATTTGATTCCGCAAGTCATTCTTGATAAACTTCATTGCCGAAAAAGCTCTTTCAACGGAGGCAATGACAACTGGTAAAAGTAGAGCAAGTTTCACTAAGCGAAATACAAGAGGATAATTTGAATGTTTCTTTGTCTGAACTAATCTTTTGGAAAGATCACAAAGCCCATTTAGATCGGAGAACCTTTCGTCAACATCACGAACATCAACAATGTAACTTGCAAGTTGATTCTCAAGAATTCTCATATTGGATTCATCAAAGTCATATGGATATAATTTAGCCATTCTCATTACTTTTCTTATGTCAAAACTTGAAAATGAGTTAATTGGATTCAAGCAAGCAATTACATGGAGCAAATCGGTAGTCACCTCATCAAAACGATCATTAAGTTCTTGAAGTTGCCAATCAATGATATTGCAAAACACTTCAACACGATAATGATCTAAGATTGTGTAGTTAGCAAGTTTCCGCCGAGATCTTAAAGAGCTAACATATGGCTCCTCAAAGTTAGGTATCAAAACATCATGTTTGATACAAAATGTAGATACCTTGGCAATAAGAGAATCACATTCATCATCTCTTAAGACTTGCAACCTTCTCTTTGCTACTTCAACAAGTAGCATGGCATTTGCAATATCTTGCTCTTTTTTTTGTAAACATTTATTAAGCTCATTTGTGATTGCTAAGACATCTCTCATCAAATGCAACATAAACGCAATCTCAAATGTTTGACAAGCTTCAAGATGTCCCATTGCCTTGGCTCTTTCATCCATACTCCTTGCATCAAGAGCAAGTGATTCAAGAGCCTCAAGAATATTAGAGCCAAACATAATAATAAAATTGTTAAAGGATTTATAATGAGATCCCCAACGAGTATCACAAGCTCTTGAAAGACCACGTTGTTGATTCAAGCCCCTACCGGTTGTAAGTTCACCCATATCTAATGCCACTTGAATTGTTGATTTTTGGAAATCTCGTAAATTATCCATACGCTTAAAAGAAGATCCCAATACATTAAAAATATTTGAGATCAATACTATAAGTTTTCCCACTTCAACACACTTTTTAGAGACCCCAACAAGAGTTAGTTGAAGTTGATGAGCAAAGCAATGGATTGAATGAGCCGATTTACTTTCTCGTCTAATCAATATTTTAAGACCATTGATCTCACCTTGCATATTACTTGCCCCAACGTAACATTGTCCACACACACTTGATGGACTCAAAGAATGTTGAGCAAGTAAATTAAAAATTGCCTCCCTTAAAGATGAAGCACTAGTATCTTCAACATGAACAATGTCAATAAGTCGCTCCATTACAAATCCCATTCTATCAATATAACGAAATACGATAGCAATTTGCTCCTTGCGTGACACATCAAAGGATTCATCAACTAGAAAAGCAAAGTAGTCACCATTTAATTCCTCAAGAATAGCTTTAACGGTCTCTATCTTACATGCACTCACAATATCTTTTTGAATCATTGGAGAAGTCATTTGATCACTTACAAGTGAATGTTTCAAAACATAATCACGAATTTTATCACATTTTTTTGCATACCATGAGAGAATTTCAAGAAAGTTACCCCTACTAAGTGATGATTTAGATTCATGACCTCTAAATGCAAATCCCCGACTTATGAGAAGTCTTACTACATCAATCGACGCACTTAAGTTGGTTTCGGTACTTGTGTAAAATACTTCTTCACTGAATATTGAGACTGAATCGTAAAATAAAAATTTAGTTAGAACTTACAAAAATTAAATATGCAATAAGGACCAAAACAAAATTATAGACAATGAACAAAAGTTTGAATCTCATAAATAAAAGTTAATATCCACTAAACAAATGTTGAATGTCGAGTTTTGAGCTAAATTCATCCCTTAGCTATGGCCTAAATATAAGGTACATCCTTGTATTATCTCATTGCACAAAAAACATCCTTATACTATTTAGAAAGTTGCAAGATTCCTCCTTCCATCCATTTCTGTCAAAAATCTCACGGCACAAAAACAAATTAACCAAACATGTGGCTTTACTCTTAAATAAGGCTTCAAAATCTTGCAATTTCTTTTGATAAGAACATCAAAGAATACCAAATTCACCCCAACACCAAAAAATGTTAAGTGTTATTAATCCAGGTTTACGGCACCATTCCCAGGAGGTATAAAATAGTTAATCAATACTTCAACTTACTCTTAAACTTAAATAGGAAACTTAAATAGGAAATTATAAATATTTAGAGAGAGGTGAATTCAAAATTTAGAGTCAACACAATATTAAATTTTTTATGATACCAATGCAAATGAGAATGGTGCCTCTCCTGGATACCAAACTTTAGAAGAAGGCAAAGATAATCCTACTTTGGTTTTATTTTAATCTATCTAGCAACCAAATTCTTCTTAATGTATTGTTAAATGAGTGCAACATTGTATCTATTCAAACCCAAAATTAGAAAAGAAAATAAGAAAGTTGGCAAATCTTTCTGACATTTCATCAAACACATAATGGGCATCTTAAAATCAACAGATAAGCCCAAACAAATAAAATTATAACTTTCATAATTAGTGAATATAATTGAAATTTTCATATGAAAAATAAAAAATTGTTAAGAGAAATGAATATCCGAGTTCAATCTGCTAAATAAAATAGCACATCAACAAATACCAGAATCAAAGCATAGAATTCTGGAAAAAAAAAACTTACAGAGGTTGCCATCATAAATAGAGCCTGAAGGAGAAAATGAAATTAATCCACAAAGGACCATCACTCCTCCACCAACGACAGCAAGCAGCAGCAACAAGCGGCAGCAAGTCAACAACAGGCGAGACTTCAGCAGCGGCCAGCGAGCAGCAGCAACAGGCGGCAGCAAGTCAACAACAGGCGGGACTGCAGCAGCGGCCAGCGAGCAGCAACAAAACCTGAAGGCTGAAGTTGAAAGAGAAAGAATAGGGAAAATATAATATTGCAATCCCTAGAAAAGAGGGATTTTTTTATTTGTTGACTTTCCATTAGAGATTTTAAATATAATTTTTTTAATTAGTAATGTCTTTAAAAAGGGATCGTTTGGTATATCTATATTTAATAAATAAACACTTAAAACTGATGCCTGCAAAATCGCTAAAAATTACAACAACAAAAAAATATTGTTGCCTGAAATCGATCCTGCGACCCAAAGCTCACTTAAGCGAAATTTTGAACCCCCTCAACCGTTGGGCTACTCCTTTGATATATATTCAGGTGGTTCAATTTTAAATATATACATGTACATAAAAAAATCAATCTTATATATATAGTGTAATTTTTTTACCGAGGTGGGTTGAATGACCCCCCTGAAAACACTGTACATCTGCCCCTGGTTGCTGGTGATTTCATCAGTTATATATTAAGGTGATATTTAAGTTTTTAAGTCTGCATATCTTTCTGTCGGTAAGATATGTGGACAACGGAAATGTCAAGGTAGACCTTTCAATCAAAGCAATATAACATTTATGTAAAACAAATAATAAGTTTAAAATAAACAAGTTATCACAGATCATATTTCTAAATTGAGTTTTCTAAGGTTAAAACCTACGTAGGTTTCTAGCGGAGTCCCTAAGTTGTCGCACCCTATTTCAAGCTAGCCGTTATAGTTCACAACATAATATGATTGTTACTCTGATTTTGAAAATGTTTAGAGTCGTCACCTAATTTTAAGGAAAATGATTAGGAAAATCATTTTTGATATGTAAATGTATACTCTGTTTGATTTGCGAAAACCAATGAGATTCTAAGTAAGAGTTTTTTGGTTACTCGAAGGGAAGATATTAAACATTAGAGCCTATTTGAAGGTTCTTAAACTCAATTTAGGAAAACAAATTATGAAAAATTTATTTATTTATTTGCTTTAAAATCAATTTAGGAAAAACATCTCTTAGAGCCTATCATCTGATTCTGAAAATATTTCCAAGGGCTTACAATTTACTATTAAATTCATGAATAAATAATATTATGTTACACAAGTAAATTTAAATAAAAAGGGCAAGCCCCCAAGGCCTAGCTCGAGTGGCAAAAGGTGGAGGATTTGTGGCTTAGGTTGCAGGTTCAAGCCCCACACCATGCAAAGTGAAGCCCGGTATTTAAGTGGAGAAGGGTAGAGGGGGCGGGCCCATTATCAACCGAGTTTAGAAGGCTGTGATTGGTCCAAAGGGTGGGTCACAGATGGATTTCTCGGTTATAAAAATAAAATAAAGATATTAATACATCAAAACTTAAGAGTTATGCAAACAGATGTAAAAGTTAGTCAACATATAAATAAACAACAGAATCAAGACGATAAAACAGAGGCTAACAACCCTAATTGTTGTTGACCTGATATTTTGGGCAAAAAATGAGTTCCAAAATAGAAACTCCAGCCCTCCAGTTGTACAAGAAACATAAGTAAGAAAAAAGATTAGAAAGACTTGATATCTAGTAAGTAATTGAGGCAAAATATCGGTCATGTGAACTTGAAGTGATACAAATACTTTTACTATTTTCTGAAATTAATCAAAGATCTTAACTAATCTAATATGGGTTAGTTTGGATAAAAGATTATCTTACGCCATGTGTAATAAAGTTGCAGGCAGTTAGCTACCCAAACAAATTTACACTTTCATTTTTTATGACTTACTAAACACATAAAAGTACCAATAGTACATCATAAAAGCACTACATCCTAACTAACAAATTACTAACAAATGGTATTCTTCTTTAATCAAGCATTTTGTGGTCTAAACAAAAAACAAATAGGAATAAAAATTAAGCATTTGTTCCCAATTTGAGTGGTTCATTATATGGTCAACTAAGACGGTACCAACAGAATGTAGCAAAAAGAAACTTGGGGTGATTTGTTGTTAAAAGTTTCTGTACCTGGCTGTTTGATCATTTTATCATGTTGATCATTTTATCAGGTTGATTTGTCAGAATTATTACTTTGGGAAGTGACTATGCTATTAATTTGTATATCACATTATAATTTCTTTGGCAAGATCTTTTCTTTTGGGATCAGTAAAAGGTATTCTTTAGCAATATTTTGTACTATATTTTTTCGATAAATTGTGTGGACTGTGGAGAGGTTTCTAAAATAATATGTAAGTGAGATTGTTCCATATTAAATGTATTTGAAGAATTATCCTATTGTATTCAGTTCTTGTCGGGCAATTGGGATAGATAATACATATTTTCATTTATCATTTTTTTTTGTGTCCTAGTTAGAATAGTATAGTTTAAGAATGTAAAAGAATTTTGAATGTTGTGGTTTTAAAATTAAAGGTGTGTGGTCTTAATAATGTTATGTCATTCGTACAAGGGAGTGATGTCACTAAGGGTAAAATGAGAGTTTTAGAATAAAGAACTTGCTACATTCAGAAAGGTGGCATTTTTATGAAAGTCAGACACATAAATAGGAACTGAAGGAGTATTTTGAATGAAAAATTAACATGATCCATGAACCAAAAAAGCAGCAAGAAACAAGCACAACTAGTTTGCAAGATCTTTTTTATTCAATTGATGCATAAAATGTTTGTGTAATGTAGTGGTACCCTTAACTCAAATGTTCTAGCTAATTATCCATGGTAAATGTAGAAGTACTACAACTGATATTAGTAGAAGGAGTTCCCTGTAATGGTAATCGTTTTGCAACAAAAAAATGTTTTATCTCATCATCTGATATTATTAATATATAAACCTCTAATTAATCTAACAATCCAGAATCTCAAGTCTTTAAATCAAAGGGAGTCTCTCCTTTGCATTCGACTTTCATAGGATTTAGACAGTTTCGCAAATATGCTGATATCTTGTCCTTTAGATGTGAACATATACATGACTTTAAAACCTACTAGTCTGCCTCGATGATGCATTGACTGATACAATCTTCTATTATTTACCTCTAGAGGCCTTTAAGAGGAAAGAAAAAAATCCTGACACTTTTCAATAGACTTATGATGGTTTCTTAAAGCTATGAATCAAGAGAATTTGTAGACTGATTTTAGGAAAGCTATGTTAAATCTATCATAAACTAATTTTCCAAATCATAATTACACTCCTTGAACCTGTGAACAAAATAGTGAAAACTCAAGCTATTTCTTGTGATCTTACGAGAAAGAAATGATTATTAGGACAAAACCAAGATTATGAGAAGCTAACGACAAATTTATTGAAACATTTTATGTAAGAGATAGTCCTACACAACTATAATCATATCTATATATGGATGGTCGGTCGTTACTTAGAAAAATCATACTGGAGTTCGAACAAAGCCATAACAGGTCTGCCCACCTGACTGATCCAAACTTTTATCACAAATGACACACATCATACTAAAGCACTTGAGAGGAGACAAACAAGCAACACAAGAATGTGATATTGGGTTTAGACTCTAGTTCATGTTGTAAGAAAGTCAATGGATTCCTTTTCACTATATCTTGTTCAATTTTTATAAACGTACAATCAGCGAGTATATTTCCAGCTGAAACAGTTAATGAAACAGGATACTACCTGTTTGAACTTGCCCTTTTTTTTTTTTTTTTACTTCCTTCATGGCTGCTTTCTTATAATTCAGAAAAAATGTGAAATAGAGACCCATTAGCTCTTCTTTTTCTGTTTGGTATGTTTCAAGTTGGCATTAGCGTTGTGCGTGGTCTCGCAATGTTTTCATAATGTTTCTCTTACATCTTAAAGACATGAGAATGTCTGAATTATGTGGGTTATTATTTGTCTAGACTTTTGGACACAAGATGGAATATGAACACGTTCATGAAAATGATCATCTCTCTTCCTGTTTCAGATTTGGTCCTGTTTAGAAGAGGTAATGGTATAGTCCTTGATTGATTATGGCCAAGATTTAATGTGTATTCATGAACAAAATATGTGAAGGTTTTGGGTGATTGCGTCCTAAGCTATCGTTTCTTAAATAAGAAGAAATAGTGAAATCTTCAAGGAACTTTATTCTTATGAACTTGCTGAATCTTGATTCTCTTCAAAATAAATAAATAAATAACAGACGAGCAGATTTTAGCTTAATTCTTATTCATATTGAAAAAATTGTGGTCCTCTTCTTTTGGAAATAAAATCATGTTTGTATTCAATATATTTAGAAGAAATCTCAGAGATTTAGAATATATCAAACCTTTGGCTCAATGTGTTCAGGGTCGTCTTAACCCCTAGGCCACAGTGGCGGATCCAGGATTTAGAGTCCGTGGGTGCCAAATGGGATTCGAACCCGCAACATCAACCTTCTAAAGTTGTCCTCCTACTGTGGCACCACAAGTCAATTTTGTTTTGTGGGTGACACGCTTTATATTTATATATATATATATATATATACCTATGTATATATAGAGTTTCCATCGAAGTTCGGGGGTGGCGTGGCACCCCCACAGCCCTTCATAGATCCGCCATTGCTAGGCCACTAAAGCCATCATTTGGGGTCCCCCATTTTGAAAAAAATAATTACTTATATATGTTATTTTTGTAAAAATAAATTATATGTACTATGAGTGTTATGATTTCTGCTAAGGAAATTGCATATGAGATGAAAATAAACCTGAATTTCGTAAGAAACAATTTGATGAAAATATGGATTGGGAAATCACAGAGTCTCTTGAAGAATCTTTTAGTGTTTATTGTTTTTTATATATGTAGGGTAGTTCAAAATAGATTTGAACCAATTGAAGCATACGGAAATATTTTTGATTTCTAATTTAGTGGTAAAATATTGAGATCACTAGATGATGAGAATTTAAAAAATAGTGTGTTAACCTTGAACTTTCTTTAACATGTAATAGTTATTCTGATATTGATGGTTTAAATTTATTTTTTGAATTAAAAGTGTTAAGGGAAATAATAAAAGTAAAAGATAATGATCTAACGAAAATACCCAATCAAATAAAAAGAGTTGATTCTTTTTC